AAAGAAGAAAATGAAAAAATTTGGATGAAACGTTGGGACCCTGTTAGCAAAGAATGTCTCTAATGATGAGGTGAAATTTTTCATTCTCTAGAAACAGAATCACTCATTATAACATAAATTTATTCAACCTCCACCTACTCAACTTTTATACACATTTTGTAGGAATACATTATGTAACAAAACTGTGGATTTCAATACAATGAAGATCAGAAACTAAACTGTAATTAGGCATCCAAAGAAACAAAAAGTTTTCTATACAGTGCTTTGGAAGGCAGCTCTGCTGTCACCATCCTTTCCCAAGATTTTACAAGCTGGCTTAATACAAAGTGAAGTTATTACTTATATTCACTGCCATTGCCTTTGCCTCTAACTGTACAAGGTACATCGTCTTCCAGGTCCTAGGCCAGCACTCTTCCTCCATCTTGTATTAGAACCTGTGAGTAGACAGCCAACTAAATATTTAGCAAAAAAGTATGAAGACTGAGAGACTATGAACAGGAGGTTGGTATTGCAATCAAATAATTTAACTTGACATATTTAATCATGTGAATAATCCCTAATGCTTTGCCATAATTAAGCAAAGTAATAGTATGTAAATGACTTCAATGAATATTTTTCCAAAAAAAGCTAAGTTACCTAACCCCTATCCCCCTTTTTCTTGCTTTGTTATTAAAAAAGAGAGGTCCTAGTCCATCCTATATCATCTCGGTAGCTAGGAGTTTTAGATCCCTCTCTCATATGCCCCAGGAAGTAAGTGGTTTTCTGTGCTCCTTTTGCAAAGAATAGTGTGTGGTTTTGCAGCTGGTTGGCTGAGGAAGCCTTAGTAACATTTATTTCTAAGAAAGACAAGCGGCTAATTTGGATAACTCTAAAAGATTCCTCATAAAAATCAATCCTCAGTTTTGAGGAATCTGCCTGTATAAATATTTTCTTGGGTTTGATAAATAAATTGTGTTCTATTCATTTCCAAGCAAGTTATTAAGAATATAAAATGGTCTTCCTCACTCGTTCCTGATGGCCGGATACTACGTTCACCAGGGTGGTGAGGAGATGAGTAGGAGGGGAAAGATGTGTTCTGAATTCTGAGGCACAACTCAGAATTCATTTTCTCTTAGAAAGTGTAATAAATAAATTCCCAGGCTAGCCCGCCAAAGCCCATTTAACCCACAATGTAGGAGACAATGTCTTAGCTAGCTATGCAGCAAGAGTTAGCATGGTGTAGGGAGAGAACGTTGGCTTGGAAGTCAGGAAACCTGGCTTTTATTTTGGTCTGCTACTGACTTGCAGAGTTCATGTAACTTGACTACCCTGGGTCTGTTTCATCATCTGTGAAGTAAAGAGTTTTGTGTTTACGAACACTCCGGGTCCCTTCAACTCTGTTAAGTCTAAGTCTAAGGCAAAGGGTGGGGAATCCCTCATCCTGAAGAAGCAGGGAAGCCGCCTTCCTGTAGGCGCCGCCTTCCCGGCAAGGGATCTTCTCTGTGGCAGCTGCTGTTCCTCGCCCAGTACCATTGTTATAACGGATCAGTTAAAAAATGTGAGAAACAGTAAAATGGAAACTGTACAAAGAAATTAATAGCCATAGTTGCTCTTCAGTCTAAGAACCAAATGTTTTAAGTGATTGCTTTGTAAAGAAAGAACTCAGAACAGTTATGAAGTCTTTGGTATCTAGAACATTGTGGCTAGAACAGAAAAGGTAGAGGTGGAAGGTGGTCAGCAGCAATAGAAGGACTGCCCATCTCAGAAGTAAATAACTAGCAAGACAAACATAACAAAGTAGAAAGAAAAACAGAATTTCAAAGAAGAGGTAGCTGAGGATGGAAATCGGAAGACATCTTGTCATCTATACACCAAGACTTTGGATGATGATGTTTATCAACAATGAGAATAAAAGATTGAAATTGTAGTTTTCTGGATCATTTACTGGTCATAAGCTCTTTAACCAATTGAGTCTTATTAGAACTACCTTAAAAAAGAGGCTGTACAGCCATTTGGGAGGGGGGTTTCCTTTTACTGGCACTATATTCCCCATCCTTTTTAGTGTCAGGGAATGAGGTCCTTAATCTAGATGAAGAAACTGGAGAAATAAGATATATCAATGTTTTTCACTTCCCAGTTTGGAAAACACCTCTGATTTGGGTGGTGCCCCTGAGTCCCAACTGTTTTTGAGCCTTGAGGTCATCAGGTTCCAAGGATCTTTGAAGCTATACTCCTTTTCCTCTACTCAGTTACTTTATCCCTTCTTCCTTCTTTCCATACCTACTGTTAACAGACTTTTATCACCTGAAGCCATTTATCATCATCATTTTCTGGTACCTACCAGAGTTCCTGGAACATAGTAGATGGTCAATAAATAGTTGTTGCAGTAATGTGAGTAATGGCCTTATATGCTCTTCCTTCCATTAAACTTTCCCACATACTCCACCAAAAGAGGTTTCCTCTTCTCTCCTTGCCCATTGCTCTCATTGCCTGTCAAACGTTTGCACAGTTGGTCACATTTTGTGCCATTCTTTTTTTGTACACTGTTGCCTGTTCTCTGTTGTGTGTGTAATGTTTCCTAGTTTTAAGTCTATGCTCCACAAATGAATACTTTATACTTTTTCTTGTGTCCTCTCCACCCCTGGTGCTCCCCACAACACCTAACAAATGCTTACTGCCTCAAATCTGTAGAGGCTGGTGATGGATGTTTAAGCAAGAATCTACTCATCCATCCTAATTCAGCACTTACACTGCTTGTTCTTCAATTGCACATCATCACTTGATTCAAAAGCAGTGATTATTCATTCACAGAGCATTTACTGAGCTTCCACTGGGAGCGAGTCACTGTGCTAGGTGCTCTGGGGGATATACAAAGATGTATAAGACACCTCCTCTGATTTCCATAGCAGTTACTGGTGTACAACTCATTCAGCAATTAATCATGTACTGCCTTGTGATGTCTCTTAGACTAGCTGGAAAGTCTTCTTTAAATCCTGCTGTGCTATCTGAGTTTCACTTATTAATGTCTTCATCCATTCTTTCAGCAAATAGTTATTGAATGCCTGTGATGTGACAAGCACAATCCCAGCAGTGGGGACAGATATAAACAAATGATAGTTCCTGCCATCAAAAAAACATCAAAATGTAGTACAAAAGAGGAAATGGGACTAGAAGGTAATTATGGCAATACATGCCAAATGCTATTGGAAGCCCAGAGAAGGGATGCTCGACTTCCTGAGGGCATCATGCAAGGTTTCACTGAAGAGGGGATGATCCAGGTAGGCCTGGAAGGAGAGTAGCTAATGGTTGTCCATTTATTTCCATTCTAGGTAAAAGGAACATCAACAGCAAAGGCACAGAGGTATAAAAGAACATGGTGTATTGGGGAAATACAGGCATGAAGCCAGAGCATAGACATGAGTGGGAGGTAAAGTTGGGGAGATAAATTGGGATTCAATTGTGCAGCTGCGTGCTAACAGGACTCTCCTTTAGCAAGGAACTTTCTTTTTTTCTGATTACATATGTAGCACAGGCTCATTGTGAAAAACAGAAATACAGGCACGTAACAAAGTTAACCACTGTTAATGGTTTGAGTCATAACCTTTCAGATTGTTTTCTACAGGTAGACTAATAATTACCATTTAAAATGGCATTGTATGCTGTATTTTCAAGTTTTTTCATTTAAAATTCTCTCTCAGCTCTATTCCATGCCAGGACATAAAGGTCTATTTCATTTTTTTAGAGAACTGTACCAATAGCAGTGCACTAGTAGTAAGAAAGGCTGATGCTGGAAGCAGGCTGCTTGGGTCTGATCTGTCAGCAAGCCACTTAATGTGTGCTTGTTATCATAGCTGTAAGATGAACATACCAATAGTACCTGTTGCATAAGGTTTTTGTGAGGATGAAGTGAATCAAGACACGTAAAGGGCCCCGGATAATGCCTGGCAGGTAAAAGTCTCAGCTGTGATTCCATGATTTATTTAAATAATATTCAAGGAGTGTTTTAAGCAAGAGTGATATAATCAGGTTTCTTTTTAGAAAGATCACCCTGGCAGGGGCTGGGGAGGATAAAACAGGGAGGGGAGACTGGAGGCAGGGGTCCTGTTAGGAGACCGTTACAACACATATAGTGAGATGTGGAATGGCTGTTATTGGCAAAGGAAAGAGGAAAAATAAATTCTTGAGATATTTCTAAGATACCAAATGCTGGAAATTGTCGACTGCTGATGGCTGAGAGAGACAATTCGACTACAAGTTCCGGAGTTTAGGCTTAGAGGACCGTGTAGATGGTGGTGCCATACTCATATATTTATTTGACAAATCTCTTGAGTTCCTTCTATGGGCCTGGCACTGTTCTAGGCACAGGAAATACGGCAGTGAACCCGATCTCTGCCCAGGAGAGGAGCTTAGATTCCAAGGTGTTTGTGTCTGTGGAAGGGAGTCCAACAAATCATAGTAAACAAATAAATGAAGAATTTCAACAAGATACAACGGTAGGGGTCCAATAAATATTCAGTGCCTTTAAAACGCTTATGCGACCCGGACAAGTCTAATAATCTCCCGCGATGATGATTACAGGAGCTCGGGGTTCATTCACCGCAGGAGACGAGCGCCTGGAAAGGGTTATTTGATCCGATCCCCCAAACCCGAGAGGCGGCAGCTTAGGCCATCACCCCATTTCACAGCCGAGAAGAATGAGGCCCGGAAAAGTTCAGCCTTTTGACCGAGGTCGCACAACTCGAGACGCCGGGAGGCGGCGTCGGCGCCGAGGTGCGGACCGGGCCCCGGCGGGGAGCGCGAGGCCGGGCCGAGTCCGCGCGCCGCCGTTCCCGGGGCCCAGCGGCGGATGGACGGCCGGGCGGCAGCCGGGCCATCGGGCCGCGCGAGACCCGCCCGAGCCGGACCCTTGGAGCCGCCGACTCGCGCCCCCGGGCGGGGCGCCGGGCGGCGGTTGCGGCCCCGCGTCGCGAGGCACTTCCGGCGTGTGCCGGGGTGGCCGGATGACGTGGCTGAGTCAGAGGAAGCGGCTGCGGAGGCGCAGGGGGCGGGGGAGGCTCGGGAGCGGGCGGTGACGGCGGCGGCGCCGAGGAGCCAGCGGCTGGGCCCGGGCCCCGCGCGTCTGTCCGCGCCCCGTGGATGCGAATCGGCCGCGGCGGCGGCGGCGGAGGCGGAGTCGGTGGGCCGGCGCCGGGCCGGTGGGAGCGCGGAGGATGAGGCCGCGGCCGGGCGCTCCCGGCGTGGCAGCAGCCGCCGCGCTGTTGCTGCTGCTGCTGCTGCCGCCCCGGGCCCGGGCGGACGAGCACGAGCACACGGTGAGACGCGCCCCCGGCCGGCGCGGCCGACCCCGGCCCGCTCCCCCGGCTCGCTGCCCTGGCAGGCCCGGCGCGGCCTGGAGGCCCGGGGGAGCCCCGCGGCCGCCCGAGGGCGCCTTCCGGTTGGGCCTGGCGGAGCCGAAACCCCGGGAGCTGGGAGCTGGGAGGAGGCATTTCCGTGCGCTCCCGGGACGGGACTCCGCTCCCCGAGAGCCTGGGCCTCCTTCCCCCGCTCGCACCTATAGGGCTCCGCACCCCTGGGTCTGGGGGCCCCCGGGGCCCGGCGAGGAGCGTGGTGAGGGTCGGGCTCCCTCCGTGGCGGGCGGGGGGCCCGAGGCGGGCCGGGCTCTGGGCTAGTGTCCCCCAGGGAAGGGAGCTGTGCTCTGGCTGCCGGGGGCTACGACACAGCGGAAGATGGATGCATCACGATTACCCGGCATACACTAACCAGGAAATAGCCACCACTTTATGGTGCTCGCTCGCCTTTCTTTGCCCCTCCTGCCCAAACCGGGTGAAAATCCTGGTTGGGGACGGACAGCATCGGTAAACTTGGGGTGAAGAGCACTTTGCACGTGTGCGCGCCCACAATCTACACGCACGCAGTCAGTTGCGTGGCCTTTCTATAACTTTCTCCTCACCCCCTTCTAGCCCCAGCATGAGGCTCCCTCCTCAGTGGTCTCTAACTAGGCAGCTTCTGACTGTAAAGGGTCTTGAGTTCCCCTGTCTTCTTGTCGGCTGGGAACAGTGCGTTTTGCATTTGGCTTAAAATTGATTGATTGTTTAATTGGCATCTTCACATCAAAGCATGGATGTTAAGGACTCTTCAAGAGACTTTCACTCGGGGCTGTAACTCGATGGTTTCCAGAATGGTAGGGCAGGGCAGGAAAGCCACGTAAATTAAAAGGTTGCTTAGGGAGTAATTGTTTTTTAATACCTTAACCCATTAATGATAGGATTTTGCATGAGGTTGTGTATGTACAAAATCTGAAAGATTTGAGGGCGTCTTCTGTCATTCCTCATAAGTGAGGAAGCGAAGCAATTGTCCTTATTTATTCAATGGACCCTACTTGAGATTTTATTTGTAATTAACCATACTTTTCTCTAGTCTCTGGGTTATCTGGGCTCTTATTTTAGCTAATAAAAACTATAAACTTTCGGCTATTTTACCTTCAATCACAGCCAGAAATTTCTTGACTGTATGTTTTTGAGACGAATCCCGAATCGGTGATGTTTTTGTGCTATATTTGTGACTTTTCACCTAAGATAATTTTGTTCACAGGTTAAACAGTTAAATTAGAAACTCTTTCCTGTTGTTTCTTCTGTCAGGTAACTCGTTGGAAAGTGTAAGAACTGTTCATTTCCAGTGGGCATCCTTTTGGTCAATGCTGTTGTTACTAGTATTTTTCCACTTTTTTGAACATTTAAGGAAAGTTGTATAAAATTCGGAACTCTAATTATAGTTCCACCTATGGATATACAAGCTTAAGAGTAGTACTTTTTTATCTTGTTTTATGTAAACTTCTATAAATAGGGAAAACTATTAATTAAAATTTCATAAATTGGAGGTGTATAAAAAAGGCCTTAGGTTAACTAGCACATTTAAAATGTAAATAGCAATTTCACTGAAATTTTGTTGCCAGGAAAATTTCAGTTTTTTATGCCACTAATTTAATATAAAATATTTGATGAAAGGTTTTTGAGAGAATGTGGTATGTCTGAGAGAATTGCTGGACAAAGACATTTAGAATCCATTTCATTTCATCCATGTCTACACTGAACTTCTCTCACTTGGTTACCTATTATTAATAACTATTATTAAAAAAAAGCAGAAAAGTTATAGGAAGAATAGCATTAAGATACAAGTGTAAAATTTAAATGTCATTCTTTTTTTTTTTTTGGCTCTTAGCCAAAATAATTTACTTTTCCACGTTTCTTGAGAGTATTTCTTGAAAACTAGGCATTCACCTTAGTCAGATGACAGTACTGAAAAGGCTATGGCCAAGTGAAATTTTTTTCCACCAAGAAGGCAGAAGTAGCCAGTGAAGAGAGAATGATACTGAAGGAGGAGAAAAATTGCCAAGGGAAGGTTGCTGAGTAGGTGTTTAATAAACACTTGTGGAATTAAATTACCAACTAAGGAACAGTGACTTTCTATGAAGACAGTTTCCAGATAGAAATAATAATAGGGCTTTTTAGCAATGTGTGCTAGGCACTGTTCTAAGTACTTTACAGATATTAACTCATATTTTAAACATATATTAATAACCTTGTGAGGTGGATGATAGTATGCCCTTTTTATAGATAAGTAAACTGACACCAGAGAGATTGTTAGGCCACACAGCCAGCAAGGGTAGAGGTAGCATTTGAACTCAGGCACCTGAATTAGTAGTCTTCTCCACTTTCATAGGATATGCTCTATAGCCCTTTATCCTAAAAATAAGACAAAAATAAATTAAATTGAGACGTTCTCTATATTGATAGTATTTTTAAGTGTTAAAGAAATGTTTGGATGAGTCCAGCTTCGTAATGGGTGGTTATGGAGGAAATGTTTGGGTTCTCATTAAAGAAGGCTAAGCCAACATACTGGGCATGTGGCCTGTGCAGTCACATAGTATGTGCAAGTGCATAAAGGCTGTGCTTGGTTTAATGCTCTACTGTCGCCATCTTGAAATTCTTAATAAATTTTGAGCAAGGAGTCCTGCATTTTTATTTTCTTTTGGGCCCTGCATTATGTAGCTGGTCCTAAGAAGGAACAACTACTTTATGCAGTTCCACAAAGCCCGTTATTTCTCTTACTTTACCTACCGAGTTAGGATTCAGCTGACCATTCGACTCGTAGGGTATTTTTTCATGCTTATTTATCCAAAGCTCTTAATAATCTCAGAAAATTAATGAGAAGGAAATGTGCTGTTGACTTCTAGAGCATATAGACATCTAGAATATATAAAGATGTGTTCCTTTCAGTTTTTAAAGTTGAGTCATATATGGATTATAGGACGTATTGTTTGAAATAAAAATTAAAGAACACTTTCATGAAAGACAAGCATTTAAAAAGTGATTGAAGGGCCATAAAAAGGACTCTTCAGAGTGAGGGAAAGATGTATAGGGTGTGGTGTATGCTTATTTCCGAAACTCGAAGCACTTGGAAGCATCTGGAGTTAGATTACCATGTCACCATGATTCCAGAGGACTCCGTTAAGATTTCAAATTGAGAATCATAGAATTTTAGAACTGGAAAGACTTGCGACCATTGAATCCAACACACACGTTTTCCTGATGGCCCGAAGAGGCCCAGTGACTGGCCCAAGACCACAGAAGGAATCTGAGCTTCTTGATCTCTAGTCTTTGCTTTTTCTACCTGTCATGTACATTTGATTTCCATAGTAATACTATGTAAAGATGTCAGCACCAAAGAAACAATAATCAAGGGCACATGAATCTTAAAGCATTTTATGATTGTCTCTGTAGCCTTGAGTTTTTATGGGTTCCGTTTCCTCAAGATCACAGAATCAGGATTTTTGTTTTGGTCGGTTGCATACAACAAGTGGTGCTTAATCAGTGCTTGCTGAGTGACTTGAGTAATTAGGGAGATCCTAGGGACAAGAATATGCAGTGTTGGAAACATGAAACCATATTGCGTAAAGCACAGTGAACAAACCCACCCATTGTTCATTTAAGATGCACAGTCTTGGGGATGCCTGTTGTAATTTGGGGGACCTACCCAGGCTAAAATCCCATTTCCTTGTGGCCCATGGTACCTCTGGAAGGTAATTTGGAAGGGCCTGATTCGTGCCTAGGATAGCCTACTCCCAGCCTCTGCCATCAACACTTACTTCACCACTGAGTGATTTCAGAAATGTTTTGTTTGCTTTACTTTGGCAAATGGCAGCATTTGTCTTTGTCTGATGGGAGTGTAGGAACTCTTAAAACTTATTTGATGATTTATCAAAAGAATAAACTTGACTAGAAGTGCATTTGTGAGTATTCTAACATAGAGCTAGTTTTAGGAAATGCCTTAAGTCATTGTCCTATTTTCAGCTGTGCTCTGTGTTAGACTAACAGTTTATTTAGGTACACAGCTATTTTGAGAGAGAGAGCAGTTATCTCAAGAGACTATGCAAAAATACACTTCTAATTTATTTGTGTTGCAATTCTGATGTATGTTTTTTAAATTAATAACTAAAAGACATTGGAATTATGATTTCTGAAACATTTTCAGAACTTGATTTTGCTTTCTCAGATATGTATTTTAAAGCAAACTCATATCTTTTCCCCTCTTCCTATAAAAACGGTGGCATTTGGGTGCTTATTCTGAGCCCTCAGTCCTTTGCCTGTCTATATAAATTCTGATTTCTTTATTTTGATTTTATAAATGAGTACGTCAGTAACATCTCCTAAAGTCTTCCTCCTGAGAAAAATTAATTCATGATCTCTATCAAGGAGGGAAACTTCTGTGTCTCCCCTGCCCCAGCACATAAACAGCCTTCAAATAAGAGAAGTCCCACAGTGGTGACTTCTTGAGGATAAAGGTCATTCCTTGTGAGATTAGAACACCAGGAGCTTCTTAGGAAGGTTTTTTCTTTAGGGCAGGTTAAGGGCTGAAATGGAAAAGTCGTTTGGTATTCAGTGCTGTCTTGAATTGCTTTGTACAGCTGTACTTTTTTCATATTTCCTTCGTTGAGGTTTTGCTCTTTAGTTAATGAAGCTGACTAGGGATTAGCAAAAGTGTAGTCCTAAACTTGTAAATGATACTAATTATATGATCTTGGGCAAATTATGTAACATCTCTGTCCTTTTAGTTTGTTTTAGTCTGTAAAATGGGCAACATAATAGGGCCTGTCTTACGAAGTTTTGAGAGGAGTAAATGTTTGGGTGAAGACCTTAGAAGTATGTCTAGCACAGGGTATGTGCTTGTTAAGTGTTAGCTAGTGGTGCTGTTACAAATGATGGTAAGCTCGTGGGTCTCAGGGATGGGTCAGTTAAGGTTTTACCTGGGCCTTTGAGAAGGGAGGATTTGAGCAGTTCTGAAGGATAAGTAGAAGTTGGCTGCGCATGTAGAAGGAGGGCGTTATAGATTGGGGGAATGACATAAGAAACAAGGTGCAGGAGAGGACGGGAAGACAATAAACCATTTTGGCTGGAGTGGACAGCTCAGAATTTGAGTGTAACGTGAAACTCTCCTGAGAACGGGAAAATGAGTAGACTGGTGCGGTGAGGAACACGGGGTCTGGATTGGCCTCCTCTCCTGTGGCTCCTTCTCAGGGAGGCCTCCTGGAAGCAGTTTCCGCCCTGCTCAGGGATCCCCTGATCCGCTGCTGTGCTCCCTTGACTTTTTTCCCTCCCCTCTTCTGGTTACACTCTGCAGGTAAGTTATAAAACTCCATCTTTCTCAGTCATTGGCCAACTCAGAGTTTTCCCAAGGAACGTATTTAAAAAGAGCTTGCTAGGACTTCTGGAATGTTTGAAAAGTGAATTGACTAGTCTTTCAGCCACGGGCGGAGGGAAGAGCCTTACCTGTCGCTCTCTTCCCACGGAGTCAGGGAGCTCAGGGACTGTCCCAGCAGCTTTAGGGAAAGAAAAGGGTTTTTCTCCTGAAAAAAGTTGTGTGAAGCCTTTCTTCTGGTATTTTCTAATTTCAAGATATTTTAAGACACGTTTTCTCTCTTGAAAAAGAACTTTTTTCTTGACCTTGTCTTGGGAGTGCTTATTCTCAGGGATAATCAAGAACTGCAATAAAAAGTAAACATTGTAACTTCATTGTATCTGACCGTGGTCTGCATGAGGAGCAGTGTGAAAGAAACTTTTTTTTTTTTGAGGAAGATTAGCCCTGAGCTAACTGCCTCCAATCCTCCTCTTTTTGTGAGGAAGACTGGCCCTGAGCTAACATCCATGCCCATCTTCCTCTACTTTATATGTGGGATGCCTGCCACAGCATGGCTTTTGCCAAGTGGTGCCATGTCTGCACCCGGGATCTGAGCCGGCGAACCCCAGGCCGCCGAGAAACAGAATGTGCGAACTTAACCGCTGCGCCAGCGGGCCGGCCCAATGGGAAACATTTTTACCTTAATATTCACCTTCACCTTTCTCTGTATGTTTCTGTGTGTATGTATGTATGTATGTTTATATATATGAATGTGTGTATATATTACATATATATTTCTAATTGCTATTTCAGGCCTCTTTCCAGAACGAATTGTAGACTACAGAATGATAGCCATTTGGTTGTAGTACACTTTGCATCATGTCATCACAACTCTACTACCCTATTAACTCTATTACCCTATCATGAACGTTTAAAATGAGTGACTTAAGAATGTGACCCTTGAATTATTTTAGTCCTGTGTTTCAGTTTGTATAAAATAGATGAATGTCCTATTTTAACAGGTATTTATGTTCAAATTTTTATCTATTTTAAAAGGAATTTTGAGTATTAGGATATATAGAGAAAGTGTTTTTTGTGCTTGTTTTCACGAGTTACATTTAAACGTTTCTGCAGACTTTCTCAGCAGGATTAATGGCAGGGTCCTTCTTAATAGGTCCTCTCGTTCAGTGTCTAATTTTAAATGGATGCATTTTGTTACCTGCTCTTTCTTATTTCTCTCAAAGGAGACTGTTGCAGTCAGTGCATGTACTTCAAACTTCTTGTACTACGTTGCTAATGAACTTTACATGTCAGCATTTCTTCAGTGTTTTTTCATCATATTTATTAAGTACTTTTTGTGTACATTATACTATGCAGAGAGCTTTTTGTTTAGTAAACAGGTTTTGACTCTAATACCAGCTCTGGTCAGTGGATAGTGATTGGCTTAGGGCATTGTTTTGAGAATTCTTACGCTATATCCAGATTTGTGTCTATATCTATGTTTAGCAGAAAGGAGTGCCTTGACTGATTAGTGCTGTATGACCATGAGCAATGGATGGAAGAGTGGTGGCATACGTATATTTGTCAGCCTCTCAGAATAAGGAGAGTAGCTGTGAATGGGGTTGTATGGACGTTTTCAGACCTTCAATTCATTCCTTCATACGTGAAAATTATCTACAGTTGTTTTTCTGAATTCACTTGAAACAGCTTATGATTTTCTATGTTGTTATTCATCCTGATCCTTCTCTGCCAGAGCAGAAGTAATCATCCCTTTATTGTTGCTGCAATAGCCCTTGATTACCTTAATTATATCACCTGTTTCTTCATCATTAATCATTTACTTGTCTGTCTTCTCTATGGATTGTGAACTTCTTAAAGGAAATTTTATTTATCTGTATGTCCTTAACACCTAGTACTATGCTTGGTACAAGTCTCATGTATTGAAAAAGTGAGATAGTTTGTTATTTCCTTAATGACCTGGATGATGTCTTATGAACAAAGAAACATTTATCATATTTGGGGATGAAGTGATTAGATCTAGGGTGGTGGTGGTGTGAATCAGAAGGAAGAGGCAGATGATTTGGATAAGGGTAGATAAGTCGGTGTTTTTCTGAGTGCAGAGAGACTTGGGGTTTGAGTCTCTGTGTCTGAGAGGTTGGTGGTACCCTTAGGAAAGCAGAGTTCGGGGAGTTGGATTTGGGTGGGATGAGTTTGGTTTTGGAGATGTTGGATTTCGACTGAACGGGTTTGTTTTAGGTGGAAGACTGAAGGTAAGGATTTGGGAGTTGTGCTAGTTGTGTGCTCCATAGGACCCTACTTTGTTATAATTGCTCGTTCAGTGTCTTTCCCGTTGGGCTCTAAGCTCCAGTGGGGTGGGGAACGTGTCTTGTTCAAAGCTGTATCACCAGTTACAAACATGATTACTAGCCCATGGTGGGCACTCAGTAAATAATTGTTCAATGATTTAACTTCTGCACTGTTAGTTGACTTAAACTGCATCCTATGTTGTCTTTAATTTATATTGCTATAATTAGGGTTACTGGTTTTAAAATTACTCGGATAATTGCTTTTCATAGAATCTTTGTAATTTTAAACTTGAGATGAAGGTGAAGTCACCTACCTAAAATCATTGGATGCCACTCCAGATTTAGCTACATGTTGTCTTCACTGGGTAGAGCCATAGTTATTTATTCAAAGAAATATGCATACAGTACCTGTCTTTCAGGCTGATAAAGGGAAGATAGAATGATTTGAATGGACTGGAGCTTTCCTATTATGGCTTTCTCTTCCTCTTCTTTAGTCATGTCTCTCCTCTGTAGTGCTTTGACCAATGGCCGTGGAAAAGATTAGAAAGGAGATGAAATTTTATTTGTGTTTGCTGGCAATATTAGACTTTTGGAGTTTCTGATGATGTTCTAGGTAACCTATTGCTTTTGTTTCCTCCTTCCTTGTCCATGTTAGCATGGTGAGTCATGTTGGTTCTAGGTTTACCAGTATTTGATAGTATAAATATTAATTATAACTATACTCTTATGAGCTATTGTACTTTGTTTAAACAATACCTTCTGTAAACAAAGTTTAGAAAAGTTGGATTTGCCTGAGACCACAATCAGAGGATATAATTTTAAATTTACTGAGTTTCTGATTTTCAAGATGTGGACATTGATCTCAGATTAAAATAAGCTTCCAATATTTTATTTTATAGCTTCCCAAACAGAGACAGTACTCTTTTATTTAGAACAAATAATAAATATTCCCTTAATTTGAATTAGATTTTTTTTTTTTTTTGGTGAGGAAGATTGGCTCTGGGCTAACATCTGTTGCCAGTCTTCCTCTTTTTTTGTTGTCCCCAAAGCCCCAGTACATAGTTGTATATCTTAGTTGCAAGTCTTTATAGTTCTTCTATGTGGGATGCCACCACAGCATGGCTTGATGAGCAGTGTGTAGGTCCACGCCCAGGATCCAAACCTGCGAACCCTCGGCCACTGAAGCAGAGTATGTGAACTTAACCAGTACGTCCGCAGGCTGGCCCCTGAATTATATTTTTTAAAAAAACATATTCTTACTTGCTTTTTCTGTTCCAGTATCAAGATAAAGAGGAAGTTGTCTTATGGATGAATACTGTTGGGCCCTACCATAATCGCCAAGAGACATATAAATACTTTTCACTTCCATTCTGTGTGGGGTCAAAAAAAAGTATCAGTCATTACCATGAAACTCTGGGAGAAGCACTTCAAGGAGTTGAATTGGAATTTAGTGGTCTGGATATTAAATTCAAAGGTAAGTAAACCTTAAGAGTCCTTATAACACAAGTTAGATTGTAGACCAGGATTTCGCAACTTTGGCACTGTTAACGTTGGGGTCGGATAATTCTCTTCTGTGGGCGGGCTGTGCTGTACATGGTAGGATGTTTAGCAGAGTCCCTGGCCTCTACCCACTAGATGCCAGAAGCAGTCTCCAGTGTGACAACCAAAAAACGTCTTCAGGCATTGCTAATCACCCTTGGTTGAGAAGCACTGCTCTAGATACTGAAAAATGTTTTAATTTATATGTTAAGTGTATTGCATTTAGAAAAGTATATTAGCTAACAAAGATTTATTTTGAATATTTGTAAAATAATAAAATACATAATTGTTCATAAACTTATATTTCCCTCACATACTTATTTCTGAAGAGTGTTTTCTAGTAAATCCTCTAGAGATTGGACCTAGGTGGTTGGGGAAGGCCCTCATAGATTCATAATGAAGTAATTTCTGGAGGTGTAGGGATGAAATGGGGTAAATGGATACTTAAAATTTTTGTGTAAAGCCTCAAATTCAAACTTGTACCATTGGCTCAGAATGTATTTATCAGTGTTGTGTTGATTTACTGTCTCCATACCCATAGGATAGTGTGGTTTAAAATTTTAAGTCAAAGACTTGTTAAAATTGGAAAATATCCTCCTTAACTATTTGTTATGTAGGTATCTATTTTATCAGGTCCTGTAAGTGAGTTTATACTTTTTATTTTCCTATGTGAAGTTTGTCAGAGAGTGTATTTCCTGCATAGACATTTTTAACCTGGTGAGCAGAAGCCTGAGTAATTGAATTTTTGCAGGATCTCTGATTAGGTATCTTGATTTTTGAATACAGCATGGATCTTGTAATCAGGAGCTTTGAGTTTTAATCCTATTTCTTTTACTGTATTGATTTTAGTAAAGTTGTTTATCCAATTTTGACTTTATTGTCTACAGGTGTAAAATGAACAGTACCTGACCTCTGGTATTTTTAGCACTTTTGGGAGGAGGGTGTGAAATGAGATATTTTAAAGATAAAGTTTAATTTTGATTTGTTAAATTTTATTCTTGTTTTTAGAATATTTTTTGTTATTGCTGTTGAAAATAGGTGTATGTATTTGCATTTTCTTTTTTTCCCCACAATATTCCCTGGGGCTTAATTATGAAATTAAGTTGTGAATTTAAACCACATGACCTGGCCTATAACTTCATGAATTATTGTAAACATGCCCTGAGGCTTGTTTTAATTTAATCAGGTAATTTAAATATTTAATCACAAATAAAGAGAAAACTTAGACTAGACTATGTGATCTTTGAGAATCTCACCACTATGTTATTCACACGCTTTCTCCTTTTCCATATTTGCTACACATTTCTTGTTTGTTGAAGAGGAACGAGAGACAATAGGCAAAAACTCTGAGTTCGACTCTGCTGCCATGGGCAGATTTTGAAATCCCCTCCCTTATTTGCTAAAGAAGAACACTCATTCAGCTGTCTTAACCTTTCTTCCTTGAGGCTGAGATGGAAAGATTATTTAGATAGAGGGGGACAGTTTCCATGGGCTGTAAAAGTGGGATTTATTTCCTTTCAGACTAAACACCTTTAGATTAAAAGAACAAGAACTGGCCAAGTGTTATTCCCCAAGAGTTGGTGGTTCCTTGGAACTTTGTCAGCTCTGTCCCTCCAGCATGGAGCTGCCAGAGGAGCTGCTGGGTGAAGTGGTCCAGATGAAATAGTAAATGCTGCTTAGATTCCTCTTTCTACTATACCCCCTTGTTTACCCTGTTCAGAGATAAAGTTGATCATGCTTTGAAAAGTGTTTTCTGAGGTTTCCTGGTTGTTATTTATAGTATCATAGAATTTTAAAGGTAGGATACACCTTAGAGATGGTGTCATGTGCATTCTCTTAGAGAGGCCCAGAGATGTAATGATTTACCCAAGGTATAGCACAGCATTACTAATAATGTCATGGAAACTCAACCTTCTATCCCTATGTGATCTGTAGAAATATTTATGTTGTTAATCTTTCATCCCTTAAGTATTTGGTTTTTAAAGATTCTTCTGAAGGCATATTCAGATAAGAAAATAAAATTTTGGAAGTAATTTGAAACTAGAAAAAACTGTATATATACTTATACATACGTGTGCACACATGCGCGTGCACATTTTTTTATAGCCTGGTAGATTATGTCAGGCTAAATAGATTGGTATTGCTTCATAAAATGAAGGTAGCTAAAAACATTATTTTAGGGAACTAGTGATAGTCTTAAGTCTAGTGTAGAATGTCTCTCACTTGAAATTTTATGCACAATTCTGGTTTTTTTCTTCCTAATAGTCTTATATACTTCTTCTAGACAAAATGCTAAATTGAGACCATTTAGAGAAAGTTAGACAGAGGACAGCAGACTTAGATTGTGTATCTTTGAGCCAGGCCTGAATTCACTATCCTATAGTTTTAGAGGGTACCTCCTAGAACCCTGCCGTTGTGGAGTGGAAAGAACATGTGCTTTACAGTCAGAGAGACTGATGCATCCCAGCTCTGCCTCTGCCTCGCTGTGTCGTCATGGGCAAGTTATCCAACCTCTTTGATCTCGTTTTCCTCATCTGTGGAATGAGGGAAATAATATCCACTTGATAGAATTGTTGTCACATTCGAATGAGATAATACATGTAGAGCATTTGTCAAGATTCTTGATACATATTTTCACATTCAAGAAATGGTCATGGTTATGAATACTAACAGCACATAGTATGGGTCTTGTAGTTCCTTGATCTTATATTAGCAATTATGAAATGTTAAATTAGTTTATCAGATATAGGATTTGGTTTTCCTCGAGCTGCTGCACTAGCCTGCTCAGTAGTTTAGTTTCTTCCACCAGGGCAGGGACAGGAGCATTCTTGTTCACTCTTGCCTCAGCTATTAAGACATAGTAAGCTCTTAATAAATTGTGTAGCACCTGGACAGTTTGTGCCTACTTGTTTTTTATGATAATTGGTTCCTTATGATCATTAGGTGATCATTAGTAATTCCTAACCAGAGGAAGTGACTGCCCACTCTCCCCCTCATGTGAGAATTCGTGCAGGATAATGAAGGATATTAATTGTTGAAAAATCAGTGACTTCTAGAGGATTCCTTCCCCCCATTTGTTTTACTGATCTTCCCTTGCATATCCTCTTCCTTGAATAGCCCGACTAACAGAGGGATGAAGTTATTTTATAAGGATTTCTTTTGCTTACCTGCCCGAGTGGTAAAGGCCTGAGTGCCCAAGGGTGAGAAAAGGGCTGGGGATGGGTGGCAGGTCCTTTCATGCAGCCTGAAGATTTTCACTTAAGGTAAGGCCGCCACCCTGTTTTCAGTCCCTTGGTTCTACTCTCCCTGATTTGGGAGCCTCCCTGCTGAAGTGTTCTAGGGGACAGTGCCTCTGGTCTGCTGCAGGGGGGAAGTTGAGGAAGCTGTGTGATGGGTGGAGGAGGGGACCAGGGCATCCAGCCCCTCCTGAAACACTTTTATACATTTCCCCTACATGGTCAGCCCTATGTCTCTCCCCTACCTTTGGACGTCTGTGGTCCCTCCAAGTCCTGAGTGTCTCTTGTGTTTTGTGACAACAATCCCTTCCCTTCTGTTAAGGTTTCCTCTGCTTTATTAGTCATCAGCGATCTTCCATTTGTTTTCCATTTTCCAAAAATTTGTTGAAATCTTTTCTCGCTTTTTTTTGTCCTTGTACACCTACATCATTTTTATTTCTTGAGATTTTAAAGAGTGTCAGCAGAGAAGAGAGACATACTTGTTAAATCTACCTTGTTTAATTGGAAGTCTGGGAACTCGATGCAATATTTTGTTCCGTTGGTTTCAACCGAAGTATTTTAGCCAGACCAAATAATTTGAATCTTGTATTGAATCTTGAATCTAGGTATTTTGAATTCTTGGTGTTAACAAGTCATTAAACCTTATGCTAACTGCAAGTTTGCTAAGCAGGGGCTTTTTTATACATTCTTATTCAAACTATTGATAAAATTGTTCTCCTCCAGATTGACATCTGTCTTTTTATTTTCGAAAGGATGTGGGTGTGTATATTTTTTTGATTTTAACAACGATTGGGATCACTGTACAAAATTTAGAAACTACAGGGAAGTGTAAAGAAGAAAATTAAAATCACCTGGATATAATTACATTAACATTTTCTTCCTTCCTTCTGTCTTTCTTTATATTCATCCACATTATTTAAAATTGTAAAAAATTGGGTTGATGTTGTATATATGATGTTTTAAAAATTTACTTGACGAATACTCATATAGCGTTTATTATGTGCTAGATACTGTTCTAAGCACTTACTAACTCATTTAGTGAGTTATGTTTAACTAGTTTTTACTTGTCTTTTTCTTACCAGCTCATAAGCTTTTCCTCTTATTGTTAATTATTCTTTAAAAAATGTTTATATAATTCTATAACTTAGGTATTGTAATTTTCCCCCATTTCCCAATTAAAAGATTCTGTGCTTATTTTCCTTTCTTCTTCCCTCCCTTCCTTCCTTACTTTTCTTGCCTTTTTTTTTTTTTTGCTAGTAGAAATAACCATGCATTTGGCTCTTCTAGCAATAAGTATTTTAATGTATCTTTTAAGAATTTATTGTAATAAAAATTCAAAGTGAAATTACTGAATCAAAGAGTATAAAAGTTTTTAAGGCAGGTCTTGACACATGGTGCCAAATGGCCATCTAGAGAAAAATTGTACAGTTTATACTGCCAGCCAGGATGATCAGTTAATCAATACCCTTTATATATATGGTTGTTTAATTAACTCTGACCAGTTTTTCCAGTCCATTTTTTAAAATTCATTCAGCAGTTTTTGAGTGCTTCCTGCATGCCAGCACTATGTAGGTAGGCTCTGAGTATAACATGTGGAACCAGAAGCTCTGGCTTCAGGGGTCCATGGCCCTTTGAAATTGTATGCTTAATTTTGTGTGAACGTGTATTTTTGGGGAGAAAGGGAGCTGTCGCTTTCATTGGATTCTCAAAGGGATGTGTGGCCCAGCGGAACTTAACACTGTGAATATGTTGGCACTTTTAATCCTTAAAACAACTCTGGGAAGGAGACAGCATAGATATTATATCTGTTTTACAGTTGAGGGACCTAAGGTTCACAGAGCCTAAATGACTTACTTTTATTCACATAGCTAGTAAGAGTGGAACCCAGACTAAAACTCAAGTTTCTGGCCCTTTCTCTATAAATTTGTCTGTAGTGACTTTGTGAGAATCTTTACCAAGTGCTGCTGAGTTGTATTCAGCAGGTATAGTATTCCTGCTTTTCCAATTTAGTAATGCTATCAGAAGAGAAAGTAAGCAAAGTAAGGCACGGTGTGTGCTTAGAGAACTCATGAATAACTATCATGTTCTTTTCTCGATGATTTCACTGCCTATTCAGTTTTTAGTCTGGAGTGTTGTTAGGAATCGATGACAGACTTATTGGTACATAGTTTCTGGAATCTACCCTTGCTTTCTGTTTGAAAAATCAGTATTAACATTGGCCACTTTGTAACTTTGGTTTTATGTTTTTTCCCCATAAAGTATTTACATTAGTAAGATCCTGATTGGCTCCTCTTCAGAATTCGTAGGGGTGTATTTCATCTGAGAAAGGTATACCCTATTATAATTTTAAAGCAATGATTTATGGTAATGGATTTTTCTCATTGTTTTCCAGTTATCTAGTTTGCTGAATAATGATTTAGCATGTTCAAACACATTACTTACATTCATTATCTTCTGAGTGGCTCCCTCCTGAGAGAAGTGCTGTTTCAGTTGAGCAACCAGACTTTTCAGTTATTTGTGATGTTTGTATTTGCCTACATGCCTGTAAGAGGAATTTCATTAAAATATGACCAACCAAGGCCTTTTTTATAGCCTGTCATAATGATAGGTTTTCTCTTTCAACACATTTCTTTTCTAGGTTTCATATCAATGAAAGATACTGTTCAAGACCTCTTTGTCAATCCTTCTGAGAGATTCTGCTCAAAAATTTCATTTGTTTATATTGGCGTTTTTCTCCTTATACACATCCCCCTCTCCCCCACAGTCACACACAGACACATGTGTTTGTGCATACTCTAATATACTTAGTGATTTCCTTTGCCAAATATGTAGAAAATCATGCTCTTAAAATTTGTTAGAATTTTTTGTTTGTTTAATGCCTGCCCTGTGCGGGGTACTGAAACAGGCATAGCTGGGGATAAAAAGGTTATAATCAGTTACAGACATAGCTCTCAAGACCTGGTCGTCTTTTTGAGGAGCTGAGATACTAGTATGAGGTTATAAGTGGTACAGGCCTAGGTGCCATAGGGAGGTATGGAGAGAAAGCCATGGGACTTCAGAGAAAGGGGCAGGCTGTGGGGTTTAAGAGGTGGGAGGGGTGGAGAATCAGTGCTTACTCTGTGGAGGAGAGGGTTGGGGCATGGGAGGGATTTTAGGATGGACATCTGAGCTGGAGTTAATAGCATAAGCAAAAAAGTCCAGAGGCCAAGAGTGCAAGGTATGTGAGAACTGCAGGTAGTTGAGTTTGGCTAGAGTGTAGGGAGAGAGGATGATAGATGGGAAAGAGAGAGTTGAACTAGACTTCAGACTGTGAAGAATCCTTTAAAAGCTTTGTACAGGTAAATGTTGCATTGTATATCTCAGAACTTCATATGTAAAACTACTGCTTTGTTAATGATTATTATCGTGAATGTCTGATTGTAACAGCAAGTAATTCTGTGGCTTTGCAAATGCAGCTGTGGGTCTCCCATAGCCCCTACAGCCATTTGTTGCTGCCCCAGCCTGGACTTTCCTTTAGTTCTCGCTCATTCCTCTGTAGCTGTGGTTGCCTGCTGCCCTTTGTGCATTATCACAATCCTTGAAAATCCCATTTCGGGACCTCTTGCTACCAGTTCTCCTAGCTCCTGCTGTAGGACCCCTCTGTAGCAATCTCATGTTCTAACCCTCACTTCCTTCTCCTCTGCTCAGCCTCAGTTTTTACCATTATGAAAGTCCTAAATTCCTTGCTGCCTAAAAGGGCCTGGGTAGAAGGAAAATCTGTGTGGGAGCCATTGTTGTTGGCGACACAGCAATTTTCTTTTCCCACTTTGAGAGTGAGAGTTTTTCCCTCTCCCTCTTTCATGAGACTTCAGTGTTTCCTGTCATCTTTGGTGTCGTGGTTTTGGGGTACCCAGTCTGGGCTGAGCTGTTGAGGATTGGGAAGACGTGTTGCTGGTGTCTGAAGTTATAACTCAGATTGCTGTTTCTCATAGGAATAGTGTTGTAGATAGCTGTTAATCATGGTTCAGCTGCAATTTGTGTTTAAGAAGTTTTAATCAACATTTAAGAAATTTAGTCTTGTTTCTTGGGGAAACTGCATTTCAAATTCTATATAGTCAATAATATAATATAGGAGAAACTTAAAAAAAACAAACCTGTGCTTTCTTTATTTCTTAAGATTGATTTCTTTCCTTTTGTTTTTCTAATTGCCTAAGTAATATACAAAAATAATTTAATCCTTTTGATGGACATCTAGAGTTTTGGCAGGGTTTTTGAATTTTGTTTTGTTTTGTTTAGAAGCTAATGACCATAACCACGTTTTCGAAAGGTTTCTAAGTTAGAGATTATGATAGCAGTACTTTTGAAAGCAGTCAGGAGTGGAAATGACTTGTCTCTAGGGGACTTTCGGGTAACTTATAAACAGTGACACCTCCTGGATAGAGATGTGCCTTTCCATCTTCCTCGTTATGAGGAGTCACTGGGATTCCTCATAGAATCTGTGGCCTCTAGTGACTTGCATTTCCAAGAATATTACAATGAATTTTTACTTCAGAGATCTTATAGCTAGAAATTGTTAGCTCTATTTGGGATCATATTCTTGAGTTTTTGTATATATTAAATGAAAACTTTCTCATGTGTTTTAAGTTTTTTTATTTTTGTTTTTTAAATCAATTTATTCATTTTAAGGTTACTTTGTACATGTTCTTGCATAATTTTCTTTACATAAGAGACAATTGCTTCACTTAGTAAGATAATCTTTGAAAATAATTAAAATTCTTTTATTGTGAAATATCTTAAACATAGACAAGAAAGAAAGACTTGTATATTGAGCCCCTATTATTTCTCTTCCAGATTCAACTATTATGAATAGAAATTTTAACTTGAGGAAATGGCTTTTTTCTTGTGTTATTTTTCTATAACTGTTTTGCAAACCAGCATGCAAATTTGCAACTTTTATTTTGTGCAGATGATGTGATGCCAGCCACTTACTGCGAAATTGACTTAGATAAAGAAAAGAGAGATGCATTTGTGTATGCTATCAAAAATCACTACTGGTACCAGATGTACATAGATGACTTACCAATATGGGGTAAGTATTCTTTATTATATTTAAAGTTTGGGAATATTCACATAATAAGATTTATGTAATGACTCTTTTAAGGTGATGATACACTGAATCAGTAAATGTGTTTTCACTGTTTTTCACAGAACAATTTTAATACCAATTTTATAGTCCCCTATTACTTGAAGGTTTTTTGACATTGCCAAACCTTACATGAAACTCCCTCAAAATATAACTTTTATGTAGTGTAACTTTTCAGATTCAAGGGATTAAAAGGTGCTTTGAGGGGCTGGCCCTGTTGCGTAGTGGTTAACTTTGTGTGCTCCGCTTCAGCGGTCCGGGGTTTGCCAGTTCAAATCCCAGGTGCGGACCTGCGCGCTGCCTATCAAGCCATGCTGTGGCATGCGTCCCATATGTACAAAAATAGAGGAAAATGGGCACAGGTGTTCACTCAGGGCCAATCTTCCTCAGCAAAAAGAGGAGGATTGGTGGTGGAGGTTAGCTCAGAGCTAACCTCCACCTCCCCCCAAAAAAAGTGCTTTGAACAATCTGAAATATCCCCCCATCCCTCTTTTTCTCATATCTTATTTTGACTTATTCTATTAAATACAGTCAAAGGGACTGAATACAGTTTTGAAGTTTTATTCTGACTTTCTCTCTTGTAGAACTATGGTAGTATGGTTTTTAGATATGATAGTCTCCCGATTGACTTGTTTTCATAGTTCCAAAACTGTATGTTCAAAAAATTTTTTTATATTTTAATTCTTGTTCATTCATATTAATACAAAAGAGCTATGGCATAGTTAATACAAATTTATGCATAATCCAAGCATTGTTTGTGATGGATTTGATTAAAGTATTTAAAATGCAAAAGCGTGGCCATCTATCATAGCCAGCGTGTTTGATCACGTTTTTTTCTTAGTGGTTTTTTATTTTTTGGTCTTTAGACACCTGTTCTTATATATAATATTCTAATTCTTAAAATTGTTAGCAGACTACTATATTCATGAGCAGCAAACTGAAAGCCTGAACATATCAGATCAGAGTTTAAAGTGGTACCAAGATGAAGTTTAGAAGTTAATCTCAAGATATAATTGTATGCATCGTCGTTACTGAGATGCATGTTAATTAGGTATAAATAGTAAGCATTTCATATAAATGACTATAATTAGCCTTACACGAACACAGACATTTCTGTGGTCTGCTCTGAGGGTAGCAGGAGGATGTGCTGAGTACTCACTGAAGGTTTCTGAGCCTGTGGTTCAGGAGAGCCCATTAGTCTGGGTTTCCTCTTTTTTTGGTGAGAGAGCAGGTTCCTCTCCTATTCTTTTCCTTTGCTTATGGGTTTCTTCTCTGGAACCTTAGGTTTTTTCCAGTCATTTCTGTGGGTCTCTTTAGCAACATGGCAACTGTGCTTTCCTGTCTTAAAATAAATCTTTTTTAGCCCTGGGATTCCAAGGTCTGCCATATTTAGGGGAGATACTTTTAGGTGTCCTGGAATCTCTGAACCATAGGAATTCTCGTCAGAAAAAAAATTCTTATCTGGCTTTTCTTGGGATAAAGTTTTCTGAGTCTTTTCAAACTCCTTTAGAGAATAACAACTTCTGATTTGGTATAATTGTGTCTCCACAGTTTCAGAGTAGATAGGTAAATAAACCTTGATGAAATTAATTAGAAGGATTTCATTATCCTTCTACAGCCCCAAACAAAACAAAACTGTGTTCCTTGAATTTGTGCCAATTAAAGGGAACGATTTTGGTTAATAAGCAAATAATCTTTAATAAGAAATGATCGTGTTTTTTCTCTAATACTTTAATGAGATGTGTTGACCGTAGAAGGAAGGCCTAAGGAGTAACTTTTAGAGCATAAGGCTCTGGGAAGTATATAGACTTGCTTAGGGAACGTTGGACAAATAGCTGACAGTATGAGAGCACAAGAGAGAGATCCTCAGCTACCACCTGTGGCCCTCACACTGTTTGGGTCTTCCCCTTCCAATATTCTAAATCTTGATCAAAATGATCATTTTAAACTATTGCCTCATTACCGTTTATCTTCAACACTCCTTTCATTTTGATGACTTCCCAGGGACAGGTCTAGTACTTGAGGTGTAAAGATGAGGCATTTTAAATTTTGGTATCCATATACACACATGTGTAGCTTACTAGGAATGGATAGATCATAAGTTACTAGAGAAAGTACTGAACTGGGCCTCTGGAGACCTTGGTTTTAATTTTAGTGTGACTGCTATTAATTGGATAACCTTGCCAGATGGTGATATAGCACTTCCCTGAAATTTTGAGATATTAGAGAGTATATACATTTAGGGTGATAATTATTGCAATGTAGGTGATACTAATACAAAGCATGAATTTTGAGGGATCAAATAAGTGATAGGCTATGCTGGGCTCTTCATCACTTTATACCATGGTATGACCATGGTTTGTGTTTGCCAAATAGTTAACAAAGAGTAGAAGTCCAGCCTGTACTTTTGCTGTGTTCTAACCATGAGGAAGAATGGTAATACTGCTTTCCTATAAAAATGTTTTTTTAATGAGTTTCTAGCTTCTAATGTATTTTAGATATTAAGTTATATTACCTTGTATAAAGTGTAATTTCTTTTGTAGGTATTGTTGGTGAAGCAGATGAAAATGGAGAAGATTACTATCTGTGGACCTACAAAAAACTTGAAATAGGTTTTAATGGAAATCGAATTGTTGATGTTAATCTAACTAGTGAAGGAAAGGTGAAACTAGTTCCCAATACTAAAATCCAGATGTCGTATTCAGTAAGTATTAAAATAATTGTATACAGGAAAAAGTGTTTGTGACCTAATATCAACAATTAAGTGTGTTTTACAACTTTAGTAAGTGAAAATGTAGTTTGAAATGGGATGCAGAACAATATTATTAAAACTGTATTTCTTCAATGTATGTAAGCCTCTTAAAAGCATGGAGAATATTTGCTTCAGGTTTGTAGTATTAGATACCAGTTCTGCATTTGCAGGACCTACTGTTGGCTACAGCCAAGTTTACCTTTATAAATGATCAGTTAGCCAATCCAGCCGTGTATTTTCATGGTTATGTTTTTAGATTGCAGTATTCCTTGTTGTTTCTCTTTCCTTTTTACTGTTGCAAATAGAGACAATGCTGTATTGAAAAGTGCTGAATGGATATAGTTTACCAGGTTTTGCTTTATCACTTATTGGAGTAAGATACTCCTGCAGAGTAAGAGCTTGTCAAGTTAATTCTCTTTCGTTAGAATTAAAAATAGTGGGAAGAAGAGAAATCTGATGTAGGTAGCCTCTCTCTTTGCTTGTTTTTTTTTCCCGGTAACTGGAATGAGTCCATTGCTAGGAGACAATTTTGAAAGTTTTTTATGCTTTGTGCATATGTACCTAGTGCAAATAGCATTTACATAACTGAACTTATTAAGAAATTTGATAATTGTAGTAAAACTAATACAGTCTAAAAGACAAAGATGTACAGATTCTTATTTAACTGGTCTAATTAATTCAGTTCTTATCACATTTATCAGATTAAGTATATAAGTCAGCAGTAGTTAATAGTCCGTGAAAACTGCGGTGATCCTCCAAGTAAAGTTGTAACTTTTGTTAATAGACAAAGGGAAAAGTTGGTTAGTTCTTCGTCATACATGTTTCAACTTCTCAAATTGGCAATAGCTTTCCACCATTTATCTAGTTTCTTATTCTAAGTGTGTAAATATTTCCAGATTTGCTCAGAATTTTGTTATCAGATTATTAATTTGTTTACTGGCCTTGATTTTCAAATTTTTTTTCAGGTAAAATGGAAAAAGTCAGATGTAAAATTTGAAGATCGATTTGACAAATATCTTGATCCGTCCTTTTTTCAACACAGGGTAGGTAAATTGTGCATTTTAAGACATTGACTCTGTGCTTCAGTCAGTTTAACAAACATTAATGAGCATCTGCCATATGCAAGGCACTGTACTAGGGCTGGGAATTTCAAAGATTTAACTAATGGTGATTTCAGAAGTGAGCTCAGAGTCATAAAGGTGATAGTTTTAGAGCACAGTCAAAAGCTCTTTCATCATGTCTGTGGTTTAAACCAGTTATGAGATACTCAAGGAAGAATACAATATACAGGAAGCCAAAATACCACTTTTATTACTAATGAGGCTAATATTGGAGAGTGTGGCTTATTTCTGTGGTCAAGTGGGCTTCTTAATATTGAAACTCAGACTTAGACTTAATGCACTCCGACAGTGCTGGACTCTGGAAGCTATCCTACACGGGCACCTGCCCTCGTGAAAGTCACAGTGTGAAGAAACAAAGCAGAATGCATGCATCCTCTAGGAAGGAAGGAATGGAAGAATGGAATGAGACCGGGAGTTTTTGCCAGCGTAAATCCTTCCACATAAGAAGCATCAAGAATGAGAAGAAATGCCTCCCAACCCCTTACCAACAGATAGAAGCTGGATCTCAGATCATAAGTCTAGTGGCGTTGCTTCTGGTTTTGTACAGGTGGTAGCTTTTGTTCTTTATAGCAAAAAATAGATTTTATGTATTTTTGAGATCTCCTCCCTCAAGAATGGAGATGAAAAGATAATAGGGCATAAGGGGATATATACATTCTTCTGACTTTCTTTTTGACTTACCTCTTCTATCTTTTGAGCTGATCTTTTGGACTAGAATTCTGAAGTTTATTAATAAGCTATTTTTGAGGTGGCTTTTAAGTTTTTGTGGTCTGAGATTTGTATCATTGCTGCCAGATTCCGCCCTTAGACTCCACCAGAACCTGTCACAACTTCTAATCTTCCTCTGGGTCCTAGGAGAAAAAAATTAAGCTATTTGGGATTTAATCCTTACTGAAAAATTTAGCGTGCTGCTCCTGGAGCTAAAATTTCCTTCCTTACCTCCATTCCCCCATCCCCAGTGTGTTCTCCTTGGATATAGAACTCAGGCAGTGCTGAACATGGTAGGTGAGTTAAAGGTATGGGCACAAATAACTTCAACGTTTAGATAACTTTGAGAATATGGGACTCCCAACTGACGTTCTGTAGTGGAATACCTAGGTCTACCTTGTTTCTGGCCCTGTTGGGTATTGATAATGTGGGGGAAAGGCTTCCTTTTGGCATTTTCACTAGTGGAGCAGTGTGCCGTATTTATTCTTTCAACAAATGTTGATTGAGCACCTGCTTGGTGTCGAGCACTGTACTAAGTAAGTGGAATACTTTAGAGAATGAAAGTCAAAGATCTGCGCTTTCTTGGAGCTTACCTTCTAGTGGGGGAGACTTGCCATCAACGTAATAAGTAAAATGTGTAGTGTGTTCAAAGATATGTGCATCGAACAGAAAGAGTACAGCAGTGGGGCAAGAGTGCCACAGGTGGGGCAAGTTGCAGTTTTGAATATGGTGGTTAGGATAAGCCTCTGAGATGGACTTTTGAGCAAAAACTTGAAGGAATTGACGGAAATAAGGAACATGGATATCTGGGGGAAAGCGTATTCCAGGCAGAGGCAACACCACTGAAAAGGCTGTTAGGTGGGAACATGCTCGCTTGGTGTGCTTGAGGAATAGCAAGGAGGCCAGTGTGGCTGGAGCAGAGTGAGGGGATGAGTCATAGGAGATGAAGTCAGAGAGACAGCAGGAGCCGGATCAACCATGGCTGCCGTAAGGACTTTGAATGCAAAGAAGGGCAGGGAGACCAATGGAGCAGCTCTTGCAGCAATCCCGTAAGAGGTGAAGGTGGCTCAGACCAAGGTGTAGCAGTGTAGGTGGTGAGAGGTTGTCAGATTGTGGATTTATTTTGAAGGTAGAGCCAGCAGGATTTCCTGATGGATGGGAAGATAAAGCAGGGTTGAGACGAACTCTGAGACTTTGGTCTGAGCAACTGCTAGGGTGAAGCTGCTATCACTAGGGTAGAAAGGCTGTATTTGGAGGAGGTTTGGCGGGGAAGATCAGAGTACAGTTTGGGACATGTTAGTTTTGAAGTGTCCGTAAGACATCCAAATAGAGATACTGACTAGCTAGTTGGATATATCAATTTGGAGTTCAGGAGAGATGTCTGGACGAGAGACACAAATTTTGCAGCCGTTGGCATGTAGATGATGTTTAAAGCTATGAGACTGGGTGCAATTACCAAGGAACAGCGTGTAGAAATAGAAGAGGACCAAAGAATGAACCCTGGGGACAGTGATAAAAGCTGAGGGAGAATAGGAGAAACCTGCTGAGGGCTCTGAGGAGATACCAGTAAGGTGGGCTGGGAGGGATTTTTATGGTATTCTGGAAGCCAAGGGAGGAAAGGGTATCATGGAGGATAGATTAATTCTGAATTGTTGCTGATGGGTCAAGTAAGGTGAGTAATGAAGTGACTATTGGATTCATCTGGAGTCGTCAGTGAACTTGACAGAGTAGTTTTGGTATAGTGGTGTGGCAAAGTGTGAACAGAGCTAGTCTTAACGGGAGGAGAGGAATTGGGGACAGCAAGTTTGGCTGCTAAAGGGAACCAAGAAGTGTCATAGTAGCTGGTAGGAAAGATGGAGTCAGGAGATTTTTTTTGAGATGTAAGAAAAGCACGTTTATATGTTGATGGGGTTCATAGAGAGTGCTAAACTGACAACGCAGGAGAAAGTGGGGAGAAACGCTTACTGCAGCGGTTCCTTAAGTAGGCAGGAGGGATGGGATCTACCGGATAAGTGCGGGATTGTTTCTAGTACAGTGACTCCAGCACAGGCAGGGCCTCAGGCTGAATCCAAACTCTGTCTCTGCTACTCACTGTCACCTTAGTCAAATTACTCAGTTCGTTAGCTTTTGGCTCCTTCATAGTGAAGCAAGGATTAGAATACCTCGCAGAATTGCTGTGAAATTCCGTGATAGTGCGTATAAAGCACCTAGTTCAGTGTCTGGCACACGGCAGGTGCTCAGTAAGAGGCAGCACTGGTGGTATAGTGCGTTAGTTATCTCCAGGGTTCTAGAATTAATGACTAACCTGGGGTGCTGCCTGAGGATTAGCAACACTAGGGGGTGCTGGAGTCAGCAGTTCCTAGGCTTAGTAACCCCTTTGTGATGTCTGCTTTCCTTATTATTTTTAAGAAATATTTCCCTTGGTATAAGAATTTCAGAATCATACAGAATTTCATAATTTTTAGAATAAAGGAATATTATAAAATGTCAGGTTATTAGTATATTATAATAGGTATTGATTTAAAGTTTATATCTTAGATTAGGAAATAGCAGAGAGCTTTGTTAGAAATTTTAGTATTTTATGTTTATCTTCCTAATTACTAAATAGTAACTATATAAAACTTTTTTCCTCTTCAAAAGTTTGATAAATTGACTGAAAAAAAATAGGAGTCATATATGTAATTTTTTCTCTCTTGTTCTTTTCTGGGTCATTCATTTCCCAGGGTGGGAACAAAATTAAATCTTTGGAAAAGCCTATAATTATAGACTGCTTTTATAAATCTTAAATGATACTTTCATGATAAAGTTAAATATGACCTTTTTTTGCAAATAATTTCAAAATATAATGCATTCATTCTTCTTTATCATTTCACTAGGTATTCAATAAATAAATTGTTGAATGAAGGAAGGAATGATGTTATGAAGGGGCAGAGGCACTTGGCCATCTCCTGTTTTTCAGGGAGAGCCACAGAGTTTGTGACTTGCCTGAAACCTCAGGGTGGGTGACAGAGCCAGGACTGCCCTACATCCTACTGCACATACTTAGCACGTTAGCCCAAGTTAAAATCTGTCCTAATTGTGCAAGACAGTACATCCTTCATGTTAAATGTTCTACATATATCCCTGTGAAAGGTTAGAGGAGTGCAACTATGAATAACTGGAATATGTAGATGAGAGGTTTTATGGAGGAGAGAGTTTTTGAGTTGAGCTTTAAAGAGTAGATAGAATTTACAAAGGTGGTTAGGAGTAGATCACTACATGAGAAGAAATTATGAGAAGGATACAGAGGCAGAAGTGAGTATACTGTACTCCTGGGTCACTGAGGAAGCATAGGCTTGATTGGAGTATAGGATACAGTGGAAAGAAAGATTGACCAGATAGGGTGAGGTGGCCGTATTACATGTGGTGCAGAATATTAGGGAAAATAGTTTAGACTTGATATGTCAGAAAATAGGGCACATCACTGTAAGTTTTAAAATAGAGAAATGATGTATGAATATGATGTTTCAGAAAGATTTGCTGGGTAACTTTTTACAGGATAGGTTGAAAGGAAGGAGAGAGACCAGAAATTAAGAAGACCAGCCAGGAGGCCATTAGAGCTCTCAGGGTGTGAGGTGATGGTATGGGAATGGAGAGGAAGGGATAGATAGAAGAGATACTTCGAAGGAGAATAAAAGCGTAATAATTATTACCTAGGAAGGATTAAGGAGAAGGAAGAGCCAGAGATAATTCTAAGTTTTCAAAGCCAAATGTTGGTACCATTAGCAGAAGTTAGAATTCAGAAGCGAGTGTTACATATGAGGGAGAAGATTATGAATTTACTTTAGGGCAGTCTGAGTCTGAAATTCCAGGAAGACATTCAGGTAGAAAAGATCATAGCAAAAATCTGAAACATGAGTGAGAAGGAGGGCTAGAGATTTGGGTTGGGCGGGGAGTAGGAGGCAGAGGGTGTTACTGTCGTCATTGGAATCCTGGTTCAAAGTTCGGAGAGCCTGAAGTCACAGCAGAGTGCCAGGACTGGAGCTTTCAGAAAAGCTCACACAGGGTGGGAGAAGCAGGCGTCCGGGATGCAGGAGGAGAAGCGGCAGTCAGCGAGGCAGGATGAGAGAGTGGCAGGGGGACTGGTGGCAGGGAGAGTAGAGACAATGAGTCAGCTTAGGAGTTCATTGCAGGCCTTGGAGAGAAATTTTGTGGAGCAAAGTGAGATTGTATTGTGCTTAGGAGTAAGTAAGGGAAGAAGTAGAACATTTGGTCTCCTCATTTGAAAAGTATTGGCATTGAGAGGAGGGAGGTAAAAGGAGGATTGAAAGAGTGAGGGGACAAAAGGTCAACAAATACTTTAAAAGATAGTAATAGCACCTTCTAAATGTTTTTTAGTGTTTTGTTATGTGCCAGGCACTATGCTATATGCTTTACCTTTATTATCTTGTTTAAACCATGTAACAACCCCACGGAGTAGACAGCATTATAGGTAGGGACTTCTGGAGATTGCTGATGCTGGAAAAAGGTGTAAGTTTAGGGGTGCAAAATGAGAGGAGGAAAAAGACCTCAAGCAGTGTGAGATCTAGAGCCTAGTGGAAAGATTGGTTTAAGAGGAGAAACAACTTCGAAGAGATTGGCAGGAGAAATGAAAGGCTAGGAGGATAAATGCAGAAAAGTCAATGAAATTGGGGCCTTGAAGAGAAGAGAAATTCTGGAATTATCTCTAAGGAACTTTTGGGAATTAAAATATAAAGGAGTTACTGGACAGTGTCACAGACCTAGCTGCAGTCAAATGTACTGAATTCTGAGATGCACTCAGAGATACCATAGTACCTTGTGATTATGAACTAGGATCTGGACATAACTTGGGAGAAATGTGTGGGTGAGATCAAAAGCCTTGGGAACACTGAGAAACCATGGGCTACCTCAGTATTCTCTGTACCGTGGATAGCTAATTTGGAAAGGAGTCAAAAATGATGGGGAGAGGGTGGAGAGATGACCTGCAAGCAAGTGAAGCAGATCATTCTGGAAGGTGGCCCAAGTCCATGGCAGCCAACTATGATGGTTTAATCTTAGTATTTTAAGGAGGTTTTCAGGTTGTTGCTCAGTCAGAGGGAAGGGAACTAACATTTATTGAGTATTTACTGTTTTATGACAGACACAGTGCCATAATTTTTAAGTGTTGTTAAACCATACAAATCACTTGTGAGATAGTATTATTTTCTTCATTTTTAATATAAGAGAACTGGGGTCACATGGCTAGAAATTGGCAGGGCCTGAATTAGAACCCTGGAGTCAAAGCTCATGTTCTTTTTCTGTAATGCTGAATAGCATATGTGTGGCCAAATTGTACTTTATTTGTGCAGTAAGCTTGATTGTGAAAATGTGTGTAAACAATATCATGCTTTTAATGCATCTGAAGCTTACCATAAAGAACACCAATCCCTTTGCATAGTGAATACTCATCCCCAGTGTGTCTTAAGTTTGGATTTTTATGTAAAAGTTTTAAAAGACTTTTTTTTTGCCTTAACATCCCATTGTCATCATGAAATCTATAAATTTTGTGACTGATATTTCATCTTGGTAATATTTTATTTTCTGTTATTTTTAGATTCATTGGTTTTCAATTTTCAACTCCTTCATGATGGTTATCTTCTTGGTGGGCTTAGTTTCAATGATTTTAATGAGAACTTTAAGAAAGGATTATGCCCGATATAGTAAAGAAGAAGAAATGGACGACATGGTGAGCAAACATTTTACATTGTTTTTATAAAAACAATTTAACTCAATGTTATTTTGAATGTTGGAATGTAGGGCCACAATCTTGAGGTCAGATGAGTTTCAGAATTCAAAATTTCCAGGTTTTGGAAAGGTGTAAAACTCCCTGAGGCATCTCAGATCAAATATGTCAGTTTCTTCAGCAAAACAAATGGATGTTCACCTAAGTGGGGTAAATAAACAGTATAAATAACCTCTCAGTTCATTCCAAGTTTTGCCACCAAATAAGGCTATGTCCAGCTTATGAAACAGACTTTCAGTTTTCAGAGCTTTTGATTTCAGAATTGCAGCTAGGAGGTTGTAGACCTGTATTGGCATCTTTCTAATACTGTTCAATATTGCATAAAATTCAGGGAGTGGGTAGAAGGATTAATTTAGTTTAGTAGGTTCAGAGGGGGGAGCTTCTTATAGAACAATGTTGTAAATGAGCGAAAGTATGTTCTGTAGAATGTTATGGTGGTTCTGTGTAGATATGCTCCATCATTAAGTTTGCAAAGCAGTTAAACAAATTAAAATTTTTAATATGCTAGTGTGTATTTTGATGTTTTAGAAGGTACCTAAAATATTTGGTCCTTCTCAAACATAGCTGACCAGGAGGCACCCGCCCCCCCCCACCCCCCCCAAAAAGCTGATTGTCTCAAGGGACTGCTATTTTTTAAGAAACACTGTGTTACATACTTGCTTATTCTCAGGTTGAAAAGGAAAAATTGAATCCTTTTTAAAAAATGCTATAGACAAATAATATTTAGCTGTTCAATATTTTCTCCATATATTTTCTTTCTTTTTTTTCTTTAGGATTTTTTTTTTTTAAAGGAAGATTAGCCCTGAGCTAACATCTGTTGCCAATCCTCCTCTCTTTTTTTGCTGAGGAAGACTGGCCCTGAGCCAACATCCATGCCCATCTTCCTCTACTTTATATGTGGGATGCCTACCACAGCATGGCGTGCCAAGCGGTGCCATGTCCACACCCGGGATCCGGACCGGTGAACCCCAGGCCGCCGAAGCGGAACATGCGAACTTAACCGCTGCGCCACTGGGCCGGCCCCACTCTCCATATATTTTCTTAGATTTCAGGCTATAAAGGACATTTCTGCGTTATTAGGGCAACTAGTACTGGTTTCCGTCTTTTTATCTTTTGCGCTCCATCTGGCCCCTGGTCACATATGAGCCACAGTCATGATGTAAATGGCAGGAGTAGTGTCTGAAAGTACCATTTAGAGAGCCAGTGTGCTCTTTTCCCAATCTAACCATTTCTTTTTGCTCCTAGACCTTTACTTTATTCATTCTTTAAGATTCTCTGAGCACAACCAGGAGCCACCTTCCTGAGCCTCAGTAAATGCCACAACACTTTAACATTAAGTTATTAAAGTAGTGATTATTTTAAATTTGAAATGTCTTTTCATGATACTTTGAATCCATTGAAATAGCTGTTAAGTTTGGAGGGAGGGAACTTACAGCTGTAATTAGAATTTTTCACCTATTTTGTGTATTTTGATTTCATTCTGAAAGATTTCCTTTTCTCCCCCGTGTATGTGTCTACAGGATAGAGACCTAGGAGATGAGTATGGCTGGAAGCAGGTGCATGGAGATGTATTTAGACCGTCAAGTCACCCGCTGATATTTTCCTCTCTCATTGGTTCTGGATGTCAAATATTTGCTGTGTCTCTCATTGTTATTATTGTTGCAATGATAGAAGATTTATATACAGAGTAAGTGCATGTGCTTAACTTTATGACTTTTTTTGTTCTTGAATAGTTTTAATCATTGGAAACTTGTACGTCAATCATAATTAAATATGTGCTTGTTTTAGTTATCTTAGAATTGAAATGGCATAAATGCCATTCTTGCAAAATTAAATAATGAACAGTAATCTTTAAGTATATTTTTCTGTTACATGCTAAAACTTTAGTAAGTTTTACTGAACATTTTGGTTGGTTATAAAGGTTATGTTCCATTAGAGGTATGAGCAGAGTTACTTACAATACAGAGCTGTTTGACAAAGTGAACAGGCATTTTTTTGAAAGCTGAAGATCCAGTTAGATCTTCATAAGAAGCACAAGGATTTCAGTTACTGAATTAGTACTTCACATTTACCTCCAATACTGGGGGACTCTCTAGCCAAAGAAAGCATTGTAAATAATAGTAAAAAGAGTGGTGGAAGAGGCACATGAGGTTAGAAAAATAATTGGATGACTTCTTATTCTATCTTTACATGGTTTCTGGTCCATTTTTTATTTACAGATAAAAGCAGTTGTAAGAAATTCTTGATTTGAGGTCTTTGGGTTATAAGAAAAAGTTGTACATTCACAAATATCTCAAGTCCCTAATGAGTGGTCCTATAACCTTGTGCTCAGAGAACCATGACCTCAGCGAAGCAAACATTCTCTGAGCCTGGATGACAGAAGTTACAATTCAGGCACTTTGGACCCCGCCCCATGAAGCCCTCAATCAGAATGAGACTTGTCTCCAGGGGTATTTCATACTTCCATTTTAGTTCCTAATGCATTCATTCTTACATATGCTGGCATTTGGTGGACAAGCAGTGAATTGTAGCTGAAAGAATGGCTCTTTAGTTGTATATTCAATATTTAACTGTACTAAATTTCTGTTTCTTCTGCTAGACGATAAACTTGAGAGCAAGGATGGGGTCTTATCTTTGAACTCTCAAAGTACCTACTTAAAGAACTTTGCATGTGGAATGTACTCAATTAGTGCTTGTCGAACTGAAATGTAAATGTATATTAATCAACAAAGCCATTTCCCTGTAGTTTCTGTTATATTTCTTTTGTATAACCTTTGCAGTTTGTTTACCATATAAGTTCTAAAATAATTGACCAAAACCTAAACTTCAGTGTTCTTGTGATTTAGTTCATATTTTCAGGTATAATATATTTCAGATAAACTAAATCCTAAATACAAGAAAAGCATTTCAAATCTGCCAAGAAGTCATACTTTACATTAAATACTGAATTAAATTCATCGCTACTGAATTGACACTGACAGTACAATCACAGTCTTATAAGAGTGGAGAACTTCTCCCAGAACCCAAGTCTTTGCTTTGTTCTTTCTCAAATGTTAGTGTTAGAATTTTGGCAATTTGTTTTGTAATGCAGAAGCTCTTTTGCTTGTAGACCTTCAACTTTTAGAAATAAGAAACCACTTCTAATAGAGGGTATTAGCAGGCAAGTCATACATTGTCATTTTAGTCTGTCATTACTATTGATAGTTGTTCCATGTTGTGCTTATTTGAAGTGAACGTTCTTAATTACTTACATAAGTGCTAAAGCTGTGAGTATTATTGTGATATCAAAGTGACTAACATTATTGAGGTTCCATGTCAGGTGCTTTATGCATGTTAGCTCCTTTAATCCTCACATCAGCCCTGTGAAGGGACTATTATTATTTCTATTCCACAGATGAGAAAAGTAAAGCTCGGAGAGGTTAAGTAATTTGACTGAGATCACACAGCTATTAGTAAGGGGTATTAGTAAGCTGGAATTTGAACCTAGGCATTCTTACTCCAGAACTTGTCTCTTAATTTGCTATGCTATAGAAATGAAAATAGAGATAATAAAAATACAAAGTGGTGAGAAAATGAAAAACTTGCACATAAAATTTGTCAGAATCACTCCAGAGTACGAATGATTCTAAAGGATAAAAAGCAAGTCATGTAATATGTGAATTCGCCTTGGTGATGACCATAGCAATCAGAGAAGAAAAAAATATTTAGGTAGGTGGAGGATTAGCATCAATGTGGATGCCTGTTACTGTGGTATTAACTTTGAGAAGGTGTTGTGTTCGAGGTCTGGGTGAGTCTGGTGAAATGCTGCTGCTGCTGCTCTGAGACTTTGGTGGAGAGTGGTGAGGTAGCCACTGTAGGTAAAGCAGCTTCTTTTTCCCGCTCCAGCCTGGAGGGATGAACAAGGAAGACAAGTTACCTAACTCAGCAGATTTTCTACTGTAGATGACAGTGGTCTATTGTGGGTGGAAAATGCCCATAGAATATTTATGAATGAAGAGGTGAAGGGCTTGTCTGATTTTTAGAACTGTGACTGATGTTCACACTTCATTTAGTGGAGATATCTCTGGGAACTGCAAGCTTAAATCCCTGGTAGTCATTTTGGACTCTCAGTCACACGAGCAGCCATTTTGAACCCTCTCTGCTAATGTGCAGAACTTCTGGCTGGTGGTAGACGGGTTTTAGACTATGGCAGCCCTTCAGTTTTCAGCATCGTTAGGCCTATGCCACCCTTCATACACCCACTTACAAACAGAGAATGAGCTGAATTTGTTAATGATAGTCTGGAAGGAATAAGTTAGTGCTTGCAGAGTTTAATAGGGTTCTTGAAAAAACAAATTTGGTTTTGAAAACTGATTAACTTTGAGACCCATAATCTTTTAAACATGGAAATAACATATTCTTATGTTACTATCACATTTGTGTTTAGCTATATATTGATATTAAATATTGCAATCTTTTAACTATTGTGCATCCACTTGAAGTTGAGCACACATGTTTGGGCAGAGGAGTCTACATATTTCAAGACTATGTGATGTCTTTGTATTCTGCCTAGGTGGACAGTGGAATATAATAATAATTATCACTCCCAAGGTGGTTAATTCGTGAAAATTTTATACCCTCCCAGTGCACACATTAGGGTGATGTTCTTGTAAATTCTCTTTAAAACAATATTCTTTAGCTCAAACTGACAAGGTTATGTGTTCCATCTACAGAATTTATTTTACCTTCCTAGTTATGGTGAGTTTCAGAAATAGTCTTTGTTGTTAGTGGGTTAAGTACATTTCTATATTACGGCAAATGATACTATCACTTATCATTTTAATGTTTCTCTTTGCAGTTAGGCATTTAAAATATTTTGTCCAGTTTTATGCAACAGGATGATTGGTCTGAATTCCCTAGATATCATTATTGGAAGAGGAAATTAGAAATTGTTGATCTGAGTTAATGTTGATTTGTGGACCTATGTATTTTTAAAAAATCACTTTTAACAGTATAAGGAAAGCTAAATGAAAAGGCTCAGTGTTTCACCATTTAAAGTAATAGAATTAATATGATTCTACTACTACTATTTGATTTCTGTTGGGCAAGAATCTTCAGCAGTTAAGTTATAAAGAGGAATATTTTAATTATTTTTCTTAACAGATGAATGTCTTTTTCTGTATGATGTGATTGGCACACAGAGTTGCAAAAAAATTTTAGTGTCAGCTTCTAATATTTTTGCCAGAGAAATGTGAAATATTTGTTTAGAATGCATTATGATATTTTACTGCAGATTTAAAAAAAATTACGATCAGCCTAGTATCACTTAACTGCAATTTTAACTAGAAATTTATTCACTAGGCCACCTTTTGAGGTCCTTTGCAGTCCAGGATGATATTTTTGTTTTCCTATTAAATTTATCTTTGAAATTAAACTAATGTTAATGAGATAGACTCTATGGTATTTTCTTTAAGTAGTTTTTAATTTATCATGTATGTTGTTTGCCTTGTTAGGAGGGGATCGATGCTCAGTACAGCCATATTTGTCTATGCTGCTACGTCTCCAGTGAATGGTTATTTTGGAGGAAGTCTATATGCTAGACAAGGAGGTAACTTATGGGTTATCACTTTGTGTCTTTAATTATAGATGGTAATATTTTACTGTGAGTTATTTGGAATTTAAAATGGGCAGTATGGCCATTGTAAAATCGTTTGTTATCCCATTTCACATAATCTCCACCAAATTTATTATGTGTCCTATCTTGCTTTTGTGAAATCTTTGCATTTTATTTCCTAAAATTATAAATAATTAATAGATTGTCTCCATTGTCCACTGTGAAGCTAGCCCTGAGGGACATATAGGAGAGATTATATTTAAGTTATTGATATTATTTTGCTTTGAGGTGCCTAGCTCCCTAGATGTGCTCCATGGGAGACCTCCCCATAGAGTATATAGCTTTACAGCTGAATACAAAGACATATTTTGTGGCTTATGGATAAAGTGTCTGGACAGTGGAAAGAGAATAGGAAGGAGAGCTGTTTATTTCCGCTGAATCTTAAATATTTATTGAAGGACCCCGCACAAAGGTTTCTGTTATTCTGTGTCACAAACTTTTCTTAAGGGCACTTCACCTTAAATACCCCATTGCGTCTTGACTGTTGTGACCTGGAAATGATGGGGGATACATGGATGATACAGAGGTACTGCTCCTTGGTGTTTCTTTCTGTGATGGCATTCAAGGATCTTTAAGTTCCTTTGTTTTCACTGTAATTGGGGTCTAGAAAAATGCCGAAAGTAGATTTGCATGTTTCAGTTTATGAATAAGGGGTTGTCGAAAGACCTTAAAATTACATTCCTAAGGATGGAGACTTCCTAATGGGATTTTCCCCGCCTATCCTAAGTGTCAGCATTAGGGGATCCTGCCTTCTTTTAGTGGACTAGACTTAGAGGGTATAGGAGCTCAGAGCATAGAATCATTTAAAGTTCCCCCAGGATCTCCTGGTTTACCATTGCTTTTTGCATTGGTCCTCCCAGACTCACTGTGGTCTGACCTTCAGTACAGATAATTCCTTTGGATTACCTGAGGGAGTAGCATTAGGAATTCCTGACTGTTGTAGTTGTTCAATTTCTACCTTCTATGTCCAGATATGGGAAACGAGTCTTATCGTTCAGGACTACCATCCTAAGGAAATGAGGATGTCTAAAGTAAGTTCTATTTTGAATTTGACCTGGAAACTAGTTAGGCTAAGAATTTGACAGTTTACGACCTCAAAAAGTCTCCATGGCAGAAACAGATTTATTTAAAACAGAAAATTTATTCATACTTGGACATCAATTTACTTTTAGTCTGATTGAAGTTAACACCCAGCCAAACTTTACTACACTTATTCTTGAAGCTGACAGAGTTCAGACTCAAGCCAAGGAGTATCACATCTTACCAAATACAGTCTAAAGGTTGTTTTCTGATTGACAGTGCCGTGAGGAGGTCTGATTGTGTCCTGATGTTTTTTCTGAATGGTCCCTAGAAACCAGGTTAATGTAGAGATCAACCCAAAGAAAATCTAAGAATTTTTCAGAGGTATCTCCAGATTTGAACAACAGTGGCGCTCAACGTCCTCACGTTGTCCTCAGTGTGCTGGATAATGCTCCAGATGTAATCTGAAGCCAGGGGTAGCCTGGAACTTGACCAGAGTCTCCCAAGGGTGCGGGGAGCAGTAGGATGTACAACAATGCAGGTGCCTTGGCTACTGATTCTGCCCAGTGGAATGTGCATGAGATTCTTTTTGACCCGTTGGAGGGAAAAGGAGGAATAGAGTTGAATATGGAATTTATTAATACATGTCTGAATCTGAGAGAAGGTAATGGAAAGTGCGGAAGAGAATACTAGGAGAGATTTGGAATGAAATAGGAGGAATAATACTTTGATTAGTTGCCACCTTTTTGTGTTGTTGTTCAAATGCTTGGTATTAGTTTGGAAAGGAGAGATTCTTGAAACTTACCTGAGAAAGAAGTTAAATAGAGGTGAAAGTTCCGAATCAAGGAGTTTTTCTGGAGGAATGTCAAAATTTGGATTGGTAATTCTATGAGATAGATGTTTAAAAAGAGCTTGATATAGAAGAAAACAAAAGTTAGGGTATTGCTTGTTTTTCCAACAGCACTTTCTGTTCGGGTCCCTATTGCTTATGTTTGTGGTGCTGAACTGTGGTAGTGGCCTCGGGTTAAATCTTTACCTTCTAGTCGGAAGCAGTCTTAGGATGCTTCTCTGGCAATGCCCCTCCTTGTGCACTCTGCTTTGTTAGCAAGGTAGCTCCTTGTTGTTCTCCTCGTCAGTGTGAACATGACTTAAAATTTTTGATTATATAGTAAAAAAATTCCTTCCCTTGATTATTTAAATAATAGATGCTCATGTTATAAAATTTTGACAATACGAAGTTGTACAAAGAAATAGTAAAATTTATAAATCTATGGTTCTAATTGCTGAGAGAGAGCTCACAAAATAAATTCTGTTGTTTTTTCCTTTTGAAACAGAAATAAATTTAAATATATTTTTATAATCATAATTATGGAGCTAAGAATAAATTTGGGGACCTTTTAACCCAGGGGTTTTTAGCTTTTTTTTTTTTTTAAAGCAGCGCAACCCTCCTTTCAAGTGAAAGTTTACATAAAACTCCAAGGTGTAAACTGTTGAAAATGGGATGGTTCTGGTTAAAGCAGGGCCAGGGCACCTGGTATCTTCTTTCACCAGCGACTTCACAGGCACCTCCAAGACGCTCCAGAACTCGAAGTAATAATTTGAAAACACCTACCTAGGCAAACTTGTAGCCCAGAAAGATAGAGTGACTTGCCAAAGTTCACAGCAGTTCTGTGCAGAATTAGGACAAAACGTCAGAATATCTTACTACAGTTCATTGCTCTTTTCCAGTCCACTCACTTCAAAAGCTATGTTTCCATTAGATTCACTTGAATAGCTGGACTGGTCTTTATTAGCTATTGTTTTTTTTTCTTGTTTTGAGGAAGATTAGCCCTGAGCTAACATCTACTGCCAGTCCTCCTCTGAGAAAGACTGGCCCTGAGCTAACGTCCGTGCTCATCTTCCTCTACTTTATATGTAGGACGCCTGCCACAGCGTGACTTGATAAGCAGTGCATAGGTCCGCACCCAGGATCCGAACTGGCAAACCCCAGGCTGCCAAACCGGAACATGCAAACTTAACCGCTGTGCCACTGGGCTGGCCCCTATTAGCTATTGTTTTGAAACAATTATTAAGATGTCAAATTTCAAGATCTATAAGTTAAAATTTAAATAGGTAATTTGGTACTAAATAATCACTTTTTAAACATTAATATATGCCTATCCATCTATCTCTCTGATTTGCATAGTTTCCCTTGTCTTTCAGGAAGGAGATGGATAAAGCAGATGTTTATTGGGGCATTCCTTATCCCTGCTATGGTGTGTGGCACTGCCTTCTTCATCAATTTTATAGCCATTTATTACCATGCTTCAAGAGCCATTCCTTTTGGAACAATGGTAAGTTGTTTGAATCTTTTTTAAACTGGAAAAAGTATAAGCATTCTAATCTGAGGCCTGCTGTCTTTCCAAAGGACCTCTTATTAAGAGTTTTGATAGTTACAGCCAGTCCCTACCCAGTCTTGGAAAGTTAGGTGAAGAAAATTTTTCTTGATTCCGTGAGCCAGTAAAGTGAAAGGCCAACTTTTATGTATGACAAAAGAGAAGACTATACTTTTTATCAGAGATGGGAGAAACTGGTGAATGTATTTTAGAGGAAGAATAACAACACATCAAGAAACAAAGGTGTGTTAAGGTGATAGGTGAGTGCAGTGGTAGGAATTGAAGCTTCTCTGTAACACATTTTTTTTCAGTAACAATGTACGGTTTTTGGAACCTCATTAAGCATTTATATTAATATTGATAACGTGTTGTTATAGATATTGAAATCCCATCTTGTATCTTACGTGTAATCACAGACTTTGAAATGTTTGTATGATTTAAATATATTAAAACTAAAACACAGATATACTACTGCTTTGCAAAGTTAACCCACATTCTCCAAATTCTTCCTGTTGTTACTTTTTACTAGAAACAGAACTTTAGGCCTGGAGTAGACTTTAGTCTTAATGTACACTTGTGCAAACACACATATGCAAGTTGCAGGGTGATTATTGCTTTTCAGAGAGACTGTGTAATTTGGTCAAGGTCACACAGATAATTAATGACAGAACTGTCACTGGAACACGTATCTCTTTCTAAATTTTAATCTTGTTTTTTTTTTTTTGCATTGCATATACACTTTTACTAAGTTTTTAATACTTTTTAGTTAGGAATATTTTGGAAAATTGCAAGTTTTGGTGTTTTTTTTTTTTTTTGCCATACAAAGTAAGTGATAGTGGTTAGAAAAGGATAAAGTAATTCATAACATTTAGATCTGGAAAAGAATTTGCTTCACAGTAGTTCTAGGCCCTCAGAAAGTATATAGATCAAGTTACTTCTTGAAGGTGATCTGCTGAATTAATTATTTTCGTAGTGCTTTAAAAATTAAAATTATGGTTCTGTTGTAATTTTCCTCATAAAGTTTTGAATTTGATGTGGTGAAAATTATATTTCAAAGTTGCTGCGTGTCACTAAAATTGTAAATGTTACTACTTTGTAAATGGGGTTTTAAATGTTAATATTCAATGTAATTTGCCTTTAGATAATTTAGTAATTACCAATAATTAGAATATAACATCAGACTCTGTGCTGAGCCAGAGAAGGTTTATAAAATTGGTCTTCGGTGTATGGAAGACTGACTGCTGGTGCTTAGCAGGCTCCTACAGTGTCGTGCTCTTAACGTGTGTCCTGATTTGGAATGAAGGGGTACTGAGTGAAGGGCTTTCGCGGCCCTCTAGCTTTAGTCAGGTCTGTGATCTAACAATTTTTTTCTCCTTTTAAGTATCAAAACTTGTTTAGAACATGAAATGTGAGAACTTGAGGTGAATGTCTAACCTGGCTGTTCATTAAGCATTTTAACTACTTAAATTTGTGTTTTTAGTTATTTGAGTTGTTGCCATTGTGAAGGAAATGGTCGTATCTTCTCATAAACTGCATGGTTCTCATTCCTGGGTACACATTAGAATCACTTGGAAATTTAAAAATATGTCGCTGTCCAGGGCTTCATCCTAAACCAGTTCATCTGTCCTGCTTTAAATCCGATCTCTAGTGTTTACCTGATTCTAGTTCCCAGCATCTGGGGATGGTTCTGTCAGCTAAAAGGCTCCCAAAACATGTGTCTGAGCAGCTGGGTGCTCCTACTTAACTGAATGCCCTAGTTTGGAAATCAGTCTTCAGATACTCCTATATGCTCTTCCCTAGGCCTTAGCTCTTTCTGTTCCCCATTCCTTTGACCTCTTGGACATCAAACCCTTTCTCTGGGTCATCTTGGCTCTACTTCTCTCTTTTCTCAGAGATTCCACAACTGAGGGCTTAAACCAGTCTTAGTAAAAGTGACTTCAGGCTTCTGCGTTGCCCTACAGAGGCACCAGAATAATAGAGATTTTGCCCACTTGGGATCTGCAGTTTCATCAGAATACCTCTCTTGTCAGCACAACTAGCCTGAGATAAAATTGAAAGTGGGCGAAGTTTGTCTTTGGACCCAAACTTCTCTGCTCATGTGCACCCAATTTCACGTAAACGCCATTAAATCCATGTCTGATTAAACTTCTTGAACAATCTTCAGTCTTAGCAGTTGAATAAAGATAAAAGAAACGTAAGTAGAGGATGGTAGTGATAATCTAAGCTGATGTCTAGTGTCCCAGGTTTAAGGCATGGTGCCTAGAGTCAAGCAAGTATTACAAGCAGATGTAAGAGAGCATTTCAATGAAATTTGGGGTCGAGGCTGTCCAAACATGAGTGCACCTGTTCCTGAAGTTGGAGTGTTCTGGCAGAGGTCCTACAGAGGATGCAGAGCGTGTACTTGAAAGTAGATTGATTCTGGGAAGGTAAATCTTTTTTCTTTTGGGAATTTGTTCAAGAATGATTTAGGTCTTATACCCAGAGTTTTTGGTCCAATGAGAGTTTCTTGGGAATGAGAAAGAATTTGCCAGGATGTTCTCAAAAATGTTTTAGGCATGAAGTCATTCGTGGGCTGTACATCTTGAATCCTAAATTTGATGTTGTCCTAGGTTTTCAAGGGACAAAGAACCAAGGTACAGAGTTCCAAAACTCAGAGGCAAGGCAGCATAGGCTCTAATAAGCTTTCTAGTCTAAACGTTATACCGCTCAGCGTGCACTGATAAATCCCTGACTTGCCATACTTCACGATTTTGTCTCGCAGTGGATGGAGTAGCTGATGGAGATGTAGTAGGGGTTGTGGGTGAGCCATGTTGTATTTGCCTTCTTAAGGTCTGTTTTACCTTGGGAGGAGAATCTTGAACAACATTAGAAATATGCCCTGGGTTTTAGGAGATCAGCTCTCACAAATATTTAGGGACATACTCTCTCATGATCCAAGTCTTGGGCCATAACTGGGAAAATGGCTTGAGATTTGGAGACTCTAAAAAATGAAATTCATGATATATAATCAAAAATTGCCACAGTGAGGAAAAAAATGGTGGCCAAGATTAATGGATAGGTATTATTTGGTGATCTCTCAAAGACTGTGAAAAGAGTACAATATACCCAGGTGTAAAAGAATAATAAAGGTCTATAAAAATAGTGTTAGGAAAACTCCATTACCTAATGTGAACTGTTTACAAATGCTAAGGCAAACAAAAGGATTTTTTAAAGCTAATTTCATAACAAGACCAAAGGCGTATTACATGGGATCAGTGATGTAACAGAGTATAAGAAGAATGGCTCTATCCCATTCTTTCCCTTTTTATTTTTCATCAAGTAGAATAACCGTCAAATAAGAAAAGATAAGAGGAGAATAATTCCTGATAAGAGGGAAGTGAAGCCTGAGATAGGTGAGGGGGTTGATTGTCCAGGAGCACCCAGGCACCTTAGTTGTCAGTTTGTTGCTCACATAAATGATCTTTTAGGGTTACCGAGAGATCATATTGGGAAATAATGTTTGAATTGTGTAAGAGAGCAGAAGTGTTGTAAAACTGGATAGACAAATTTACTTCTCCAGAAGGAAGAGGAAGAAAGTAGATTCTGCCTTACAAAAAACGTGGTGAACTTGATGTGAATGTGTTATTAAAATATATTCTTCAAATCACAGGAAGAAGTAATGAACATTAGGAGCCATTATGGATTCATTAAAACAAAAATTCTAGAATAACTTCATTTCTCCTTCTTGATAGGTTTTAATAGACTAGAAGAACAAAGGAGTACAGATAAAGTATTATATCTTGAATTGGACAAGATGGAGAAATGTGGGCTAATAGTACAGTCAGGTAGACATGTAACTAAATAATTATAGAATTAAAATATTGAGATGATATTACCCATAATATGTCACATGCTCTCTTTCAGTAGAGTGTGACAGATATTATTCACTTGGATCTATTCAAATAATTGTTAATGACTTCTATAAAGGCATAGTGATCTGATGATTAAATTGAAAAAGGACGCAAAACCAGGGAGGAAACTAGTGATGTGGATGATGAAGACAGCATGTAAAATGATCTCAACTGACTGAAATGATGTGCCAGATCACAAGGTGAATTATAAGGACAGATACGTTTGTGTAGCATGTTGTGATTTACAAAGCACTTTCCATATGAGCCTCTTACCTTGTCTTGTTTTCAGAAGAAGCCAAAGAGATAGGCAGAGCTAGCGATAGGCGTTATCCCTGCTTTACAGAGCAAAAAACAGGCCTCTTATTGTAGTAATTGACTCAAAATCACTTCTTCTTTGTTGTGGTGGTGCTGGTGGTAGTGATGATTTGTTTTGGGGTTTTTAGGTCTTTTTTTCTTTCCTTCCTTTCTGCCAAAAGGAATTCTAGCTTTATTCTGAGAGCAGTAAATAGAGAATGTTTTATGCCTTTTTTTTGTCTGTATGATTTTATAACTGTATCGAGGTATAATTAACATATAATAAATTGTATATATTTAAGGTGTACAATTTCATGAGTTTTGCTATATATGTGTATTTGGGAAACCATCATCACAATCAGAAAAGGAAGGTATTTATTAAGTCCGGAAGTTTTGTTGTGTACCTTTCTAATTCATCCCTTTTTTCCTCCTCCTTCCTTCCCTTACCCATGCTCAGCTCACCACCAGTCTGCTCTCTGTCAGCATAGATTAGTTTGCATTACCTAAAGTTTCATATGAATAGAATCACACAGTATGTTCTTTTTTCACTCAGAAAATTATTTTAAAGATTTGTTGCTATTGTTACATGTGTTAATAGTTTGTTCCTTTTGTAGTGCTCAGTAGTATTCTATTGCATGAACATACCAAAATTTTTTATCCGTTTATCCAGTAATGCACATTTGGATTGTTTCCAGTTTTGGGCTATTACAAATCAAGCTGCTCTGAGTATTCATATACAAGACTTTGTGTGGATATATGTTTTTTATTCTCTTG